ATATTGTGGGGATATATATCTAGACTTCAGCCCTACGTGAACTTATTTTAGAACAGTCTACATGTACTCATAAACGTGGTGGTCTATACTCTTTATCGACATGATATATTTGTTCTTCAAATATTTTATTGAACCCAGCAAGGTTGCCTTTCAATCTAGTACACAAGGTATGGGCAAAAAGAAAAGATATAATAATGAAAAAGCAAAGTCCCATCCTTAAGTGTAAGCGCCATAAGCCGTTGAAAGTGAAAATGAAACCCGCGGATTCGATGCCCGTAGGAAATGTCGGAAGCTGGGTCAGAGGTGGTAATCATGTAAAATCGCTTGCTCAACCCGTTCCGAGGCGTGGCTGAAAGGACATAGAGATTGTTTTCGTGTCATGAAAGCAGATAATAAGAAATGAGGAAGGGATGGTACAAAACGGAAAAGAGGTCGTCAGTAATATGGGAAATGTGTTGTAAGATGGTTACGTGGTCTTGTCAGACTACCATTCGAACTCGCCTTGGCCCTTGTGGAAGACGTATCTACTACAGTCAGTATGTATATAGAAAAATATGATACAATGACTTACTCTTTGCCACCACTAGTCAGGATACCGTCTTTCAAAGTGCACTTCCACTTGTTCTTCACGCGCTGGACCTTATCGTATGTGCAAAGCATGACCTGGCCTTCTGACTCATCTTGGTCGTGGTCATCGGCAACAAGGTCATCAGGATCATCAAGGTCTGAGTTGATAGCATCCTCGTCTTCTTCCTTGACGTCCCCATCAGCACCATCATACTGGCCAGATAGCGTAGGAGCAGATGGCGTTGGCTCCGAAGATTTGTTCAGAGGCGCAGTAAGAGCTTCACGGTAAGCTAACTTGGCCGACGATTCGTGCTCATTCAGCGGCCGTAGGAGACCACCACCTTCGAACTGGCTCATGCGCTGCTTGAGGTGCTCACGAAGGAGGCGATCACCTTGTCCATCTCCAGCAGCTGCCCGACGACGAGCTACCTCTGCCTTCCAGTCGGTAAGAGCATCATCGCCAGCACCATCGGTCTGTCCGGGACCCATGGGTGGGTAGCCATGTTCCGTCTTAATTGGTGGCATCTGTCCATGGGCACCAGGGTGCATCTGAGGGTACCCTTGTCCAGCCTGAGCTTGAGCCTGCATTTGGCTAACGGAGTTGGCAGCAGCTGTACCGTATTTCTGCTGAAGATGGCTTGCAGCACGGTCGCGAGCTGACTGGGGGTTGTTCATGTGCGGGGGCATTTGAGGGGGCATGTGCTGCATGGGCTGCCCATTGGAGCCTGGCTCAGTCTTGATGCGAGGAGCACTCATATGAGGTGGCATTTGGACCGGCATAGGAGCCGATTGGGGCATGGAAACAGGCGCAGGGACATATTGAGGTTGAGGAGGTGGTCGGGGAGCATTGGAAGGAACAGTAGCCGATGGAGGGAGGACGCTCTGAGTAGGCTGTGGCGGGGCGGGATCCCAAGGGAAATGAGCGACATTCACAGAAGAGAGCTTCTTTTGCCAGGCCTATAGATTGTTAGTATAGAAACATATGGACGAATGAGATCAGCAGGCAGGTCTTGGCGGTCTAAAAGCGCCTAAGCGGGTAATAGCGGCACATATAAAGGGGAACTCATAAGTCGGTGTTCCCCCATAAGCACCGCCTCCCGCACCTTTTCGGGCTCCCCCGCTTTTGGCCGACCCCCATCGTCCACCTCAAAATATGAAAGGGAGGATATTGAATGTTACTAACGTCACGAAGATCATGCAGAGTCTGTTGATCGACACCGCTTTCTTCGAAGTCGACCTGAGAAGCATCACAGACCTCCTGGATCACCTTTTCGAATACCGCACCCTATGAGGCACATGTCAGCTCTTACTTGACTTAAAGCCCACGCCCAGGCATCGGATTGACAAAAATTGTGTCTCAAAAGGGGTTGTGGATGTGATCGAGGATATGGGTGTTCGCAACTGGGAACTCACGACTTGCTGGTTGGACATGATTGCGGAGCAAGGGCAAGACGGACAGCTGGCGGATGTCTGATCGGAGAGGACTAAAGGAAGCAGAAGCTCAAGAAGATTGCTGGCGAGGCGTAGGGGGTATCAATAGCTTGACCGGACCGTAAAGCTTGCTGTCGCAACAGTGAAGTTGCCGAAGTGCTGGTCGATCACACCTAGAAATGACGCAATGTCAAGTGATCTCAAAGTCTGCAGTTCTCACGAAAAAGAAAGCAAGATACAATGACTTGAGAAATGTGTAACAAGAGTGCAAACGTCAGAAAAGCGAGATGGTGAGTTTGCCGATGGGTTGGCAGAGGTGAAAGTCACGGCTCTGCGGTCGAAATCCCACTGTATCCCGCAAGATTAGTCATCAGATGACCACCCGCTATATCAACCAGAAAGAAAAGGAAATTGATAGATCAGATTCAAATTTTGTTCATTGAAGAGTTAAAAGATAAAGTAAAGAATTAAAAGAAGCTGTAAGAATGGTATTTGTGCAACCAACTAACGGCAAATAGATACAAGAACACCAAACACCAAATCCAAGCCAAAAATGAACCATTACACCAATTTAATGTCCCAGCCCACCAATGCTTAGCTTATGAACCGGGGGTATCGAGCAGAAAAACAAAAGAAACAGCAGAAGCTTAGCGGATGGTCATAGACTTGGTCATTTGGGCCTTGCTACCAACACCACCCTCACGAGCAGCCGAGGCACTGGTGCCAGCCTTACGCTCGAAGATCTTCCAGAATTTGAGACTCTCATCAGCGGCGGTGGTGGCCAGCATCTGACCGTCAGGGCTGATGGCGCTGTGGAGGACACGGGTCTCGTGAGCGGGGATCTCAACATTGCGGACCAGAGTAGGGTAACTCCAGATGCTCAAGGAGTTGTCAGGAAAGCCGCTGGAGCTGACGATCTCACGGTAGTGGTTGCTCCAGCGCAGAGAGGTGACCTGGGAGCCAGTGTCGATGCTGTTGGTACGGGCACCGGTAGTGGTGTTCCAGAAGTGAATGTGACGATCGTAAGAACCACCGCCAGTGGCGAGGAGATTTGATTGCCAGGGGCACCAGCTGAGAGCCTTGACGGCAGCACGGTGGTTGGTCTTGGTGAACTTGGGAGCGCTGAGGGAACGTGCATCCCAGATATTGACGAGGTTGTCGTTTCCACCAGTTGCGAGCTGGGCACCGTCAGCGCGCCACTCGAGACCACAAACCTCAGAGGTGTGAGAGACGAGCTCAGCAACCTTATGGTCAGCGATGCGGACATCGTGGTTGTAGACGAGACCACTTCGAGCGCCAGTGGAAAGAGTGTGCTTGTTCCAGCCCATGACACCGACGCGAGAGTCGTGACCGTACATGCTGCGAAGCTTGGTACCCTCCTCAACGTCCCAGATCTGAACTTCACCAGTACCCAAGCCAACACCAACGTAAGCGCCATCACCACTCCACTTCACGCTGCTGATATAGGTGTCGGGGGAGGTTTCCAAAAGACAGTTCACGGAACCAGACTCAGCAGACCAGACATAGACATTGCGCTCGAGACCAATAGCGACCTGGTTGCCGGAGCTCCAGTCAAGCAAGTTGAGATAGTAGTCATCTAAGAGGCCAGGAGCATCAAGAACACGCTCGGGAGCAGTTTGAACACGGCGACGGAACTGAGCAGCGTTTGACTTAGCAGGACGAAGAGGACGGTTGTACTGAGCACGAAGGTCAATAGGCTTTGACGACTCGGGGGGAGGAGGCTTGAAGGCCAAAATACGAGTGTTCTGTCCTACACCACAGGCATCAGCGAGCGATGACTTGTAGGCAACGGCATCCGGAGCCGGGCGGGTGTATGTAGAAGGCTCATTGTCTTCAAGGCCCAAGTTCTCAAGAGCAGCAGTCAAGTCATCATCGGATCCACGGGCACCCATATCAAAAGCACTAGCAGCTGTAGCGAGGACTGAAGATCCACCACTGCCACCGCTCTTGGGACGCTGGCCGTCTTCGGGCTTAGCAGCACCACTTGTAGCCAGACCTTCACTGGCGGCCCGATTTGGGATGAAACGGTCAGCAGCGTTATGAGGGATGCGAGCGGTCGTCTTGCTGGTGCGAGAGCGAGTTGGGATATCCCGACGAGGGCGTTCCTTCGATGAAGGAGACGAAGTGGATACGACACTGCCACCGGTCAAGGTCCAATCGGACACACCGAGCTCGAGGTGCTTGGGCGACTTGCGAATTCGAGCGATGTTTGACTTGGGAGATTCACGGTATGTAGAACGGCTGGACTTTTGGACAGAGGCCTTCGCAGAAGCCTTGGTGGATGACTTGGCGAAGTGTGCAGAGAGGTTGCCGCCGTAGACGGACTTGGTTTGGCCACGGCCAGCGTCGGCCTTTTGGGGAGGAGTGAAGGGAGAGGAGGTACCGCTTGCCAGGTGGTTAGGCGAAGGGGTCAGAGGAATACGACCGCCAGCAGTCTTGGAGGAGAACAGTCCATGGTGGCTCTTCACCGGAGTGGACACTGTGACAGAAGCCATAGTGATACAGGAAGTAGATGCAATGGGGGCCAGTCCCAATACAAGATGCAAATATGAGATGCAATACTCTTGAAGTAGTAAATAGGAGAGAGAAATGAGGAATTTTGAGGATGGGAAGAGAAGAGAAAGGGAGAAGCAGAAGAAGCTCATAGTTCCTTTTGTTTTCCTCGCTGGGTTGGCTTAGCAACGGTTTCCACCTGACATTCCGCTTTGGCAGTATCCCGCTGACTAAGGATCGCCCAGGTGACGCCTTCCCCTTTTGGGACATGACATCGCCGATTTGTTCTTTTCTAGACATAGACGAGACTCATGTCCGGTCATTGAAGTCCTTGTTTGCTGAGGCGATTGCCACTCGAGGTTGGTGCGCTTCATTTCGCACCTTGACGGCTGACACCTCCCCACGCTCTACAGTCCCACCAAGACCCACTCGCACGACCTCTAGGATCTTCGAGAATCTCTATTCCGATCTCCTGCACTCTGGCACACATGCAGGACGCTTATTTGATGCCAGCCAGTCCGGCACCCCGTCAGACTGACTACCGTCCGACCATCAAGAAGTCTCGCGGCCATGTCCCCGCCTGTCTGGTAAACGCCTCGGTGACGTATTGCAGCAATGATCGAATCTATGCCTTCGGTGGATTTGATCAATACACCGATGAAGGTTGGTTCCCTTTTGCAACATTTCGTATTTCTGAACTGATGCTAATATTTACTAGTCTACAACCATGTCCTAAAGCTGGACTTGGAGACCCTCGAGTGGGAGCTCGTGGACAATTATGGCGATATCCCCGGAGTGCGCATGGGTATGCTAATTGACTCATTCCCATATTGATTATCGGAACTCTAACACGAGCCTTTCTGGTCAGGCCACACTGCATCTTTGTACCAAGGCGACAAATTGATAGTATTTGGAGGAGAAAACGAACATCGCGAGTATCTCGCTGACGTTGTGATCCTCGATTTGAATACCTTCACCTGGTCAATACCTGAAATCCGCGGTCCCACTCCGCGCGGCAGGGCAAGACATGCTGCCATCATACACGAGGAAAAGCTGTTCATAGCAGGCGGACTAACTGGCGAGAAGAACCTTATCCTGGACGACTTGACTTATCTGGATCTCCAAACCTGGACCTGGTCTCGAACCTGGAGCTTTACAGCCCGCTTCGATCATATCGCTTGGGTTTGGGGCACGCGACTCTGGATATTCGGTGGATTGGGACCTGATATGGAGCGAACAACCGATATTTGGTGGCTCGACCTCAAAGGATCCCCATCGCTGGCCGGAAACACCAATCTCCAAGGTAGTCTCAATTCCCTGGACTTTCATCTTCCGACTGCTCATCATCCAGACTCCATTCCAAACAGTCCTTCACATCAGATGTCTCCGCGATCTTATGCTGCGAACTCAGGCAGTGTGCAGGTTCGCAACCTGGGCCGACGTAAGCCTGTTGCTCCCGGTGCTATCTCATGTGTTCGGTTTAACTCTGGCCCCCATGTTCCCTCCCTCTTCTCAGGAACTCACTTCCAATCCTTTGTATCTGGCGTTTTGCTCGATTTAATCACACCGTCGGAGACCGTCCGGTCGCATGACTGCAACCTATCCGCTTTGGAGCTCAACACACTGCGATGGCAACGAGTGGCTGATGGTCAGGAGATTTTTCGGCCCGGATATCGATGGCACTACTGCACGGTCAACGAGGCGGGAACCAAGGCATGGCTGCTAGGATGTAGTATTGAGGGCGTGCCGGGGAGTAGTGATGAGAACCAGATGAGTGAAGTCCTAACCATTGACCTTGAGAAGTATGGCTTGTTAGGCAACGGGTTGTCGGCGGATGCTCCCGAGCAAGATGCAACTTGGCCCTCTGATCCAATGGGCTCTCAAGTGTCCGGACTTGGGACCGATCTCGCCGCCGTCTTCGACCATCCCCCTGAGTCAGGCAGTGGTACTGATTTTGCTATCACTGCAATCCGCGACGATTGGGATTGCTCGAACTCGGATGACATGGGCAACGAGCCGATTGACTCACCAACTCAAGCCGCACCAACCTTTGTGGAAGTTGATCCATCGACATCAGACCCCATCCATGTACATCGACTGTTTCTACAACTTCGGTGGCCACATTTCAAGCGGCTGTACTCTGCGCAGATGGCCGAGTACCACACCAAGCGAATGCATATACCAGAACCCTACTCGGTTGTACGCGCATTTCTCTACTATTTGTACACAGACAGTATTGCAGGTCATCCAGACTACCCATCCAGTCCCATCGACGTGGCGGGTATGCTTGTTATGGCAAACCTTTACGATATGCCTAAGCTGCGCCTGCTCTGTGTGAACCGATTGAGCCGCGAGCTTGATGTGCACAATGCAGCTATTGTTTGGGAGCGTGCCGGGCGGACCAATGAGCACTGGCTGAAACGCCGAGCTGAGCAGTTCTGTCAGATCTACTGGGGTCGTGTTGTACGAACGGACGGTTTTAAATCTCTCACCCACCGCAGTCTGATTGAGCTGTGTGAGGTAGTGGACACGGATGCTAGTATCATCGCAGGGTCTGAGCTAGAAATGGTGAGCGCGTTTGGGGCGCATGACGATTCCAAGAACTCACGGTTACGGCTTGGTTCGACAGCCGATGAGTCTGAGATGGACGGAGACGACGAAGGAATGGAGATATTATGAAACACGAATGGGGCACGCATGCTGGTCCGGAGTCTGGAATATAGTCAGTATCAAAAGTTTTGCGGTGAACGGGCCGTCCAACCGGGTGGAGCCTCCCGACGCTCTCGGCGCGGCGTCTCCTCCGGATCGCGGAGATCATTCCTGTCACGATAAGGAAGCTCTTTTCTTAGCTTGTCCTTTTTTTCAAATATGAGGCTACATATATCTTGATGTGCGCTCAACCTTCATTGGCATTCGGCCTACATTTACACCATGGGATCCATTGAGCAATCCACTCTGCCCTCGGATTTTGTCTGGGGCTTCGCAACAGCCGCCTACCAAATTGAAGGAGCTGTGCATGAAGATGGTCGTGCCCCTTCGATTTGGGATACTTTCTGCAAGATCCCCGGTAAGATTGCTGGCGGTGGATCTGGGGAGGTAGCGTGTGACTCGTACCACCGAACGCACGAGGACATCGCCTTGCTGAAAGAATGTGGTGCTTCGGCATACCGATTCTCGCTATCATGGTGCGCCGTACCTTAGCCTCCATCTTAATCCCTGTCAACTAATATCGGCTGGACGCCACAATAGGTCCCGCATCATACCCCTCGGCGGTCGCACTGATCCCATCAACCAGAAAGGCTTGGATTTCTACGTCAAGTTCGTCGATGACCTCCATGCTGCAGGAATCACCCCCATGATAACTCTGTTTCACTGGGACCTTCCGGATGCGTTGGATAAGCGCTACGGTGGACTTTTGAACAAGGAAGAATTCGTTGCCGACTTCGCAAACTATGCTCGCGTGGTGTTCGAGGCATTCGGATCCAAGGTGAAATACTGGATTACCTTCAACGAGCCTTGGTGCAGCAGTGTCCTTGGGTACAACAATGGTTCCTTCGCCCCTGGCCACACAAGTGATCGCACCAAGAGCCCGGTCGGAGATAGCTCAACAGAGCAGTGGATTGTCGGTCATAGCTTGTTGGTCGCCCATGGTGCCGCGGTGAAGATCTACCGGGATGAGTTCAAGGAGCGAGATGGCGGCGAGATTGGTATTACACTCAATGGTACCTATTCCTTCTGGCAGCATAGCCTCATCCATTGCTAACACATAAAAAAAGGCGACTGGGCTGAACCCTGGGACCCCGAGAACCCTGCCGACGTCGAAGCCTGTGATCGCAAGATCGAATTTGCCATCTCCTGGTTTGCTGACCCAATCTACCATGGCAAGTATCCAGACAGCATGATCCAGCAGCTCGGCGACCGTCTGCCAACCTGGACGCCCGATGATATCGCCCTTGTACACGGCAGCAATGACTTTTACGGTATGAACCACTACTGTGCAAACTACATTCGCGCCAAGACAGACGAGCCAGAGCTGGACGACGTCGCCGGTAACCTAGAGTTGCTCCTCGAAGACAAGAATGGAAAAAGCATCGGACCCATCACACAGTCTCCTTGGCTGCGACCGTGTGCATTGGGTTTCCGCAAGCTCCTCAAATGGCTCAGTGAGCGGTATGGATATCCCAAGATCTACGTTACCGAGAACGGGACCAGCGTTCTTGGAGAGAATGACATGACGCTTGACGAGCTGCTCAATGATGAGTTCCGCGTGCAATACTTCAAGGATTACATCGGTGCCATGGCGGATGCTTATACCCACGACGGTGTCAACGTGCGAGCCTACATGGCTTGGAGTCTAATGGAGTATGTGAATTTCCTGTTCGATTTCGGTGTGATATGATACTAATCTTGGTTTCTTACAGCAACTTTGAATGGGCTGAAGGCTACGAAACCCGCTTTGGTGTGACTTTCGTCGACTACGAGAATGATCAGAAGAGAATGCCGAAGAAGAGTGCCAAGGCTATTAGCCAGATCTTTGAGCGACTGATTGAGAAAGCTTGAGATTGACAAGGGCTGTCTGGAATAGTGTGGTACTAGAATGGCGACGAGAGGTTTGAATAAATTTGACGTTCATTTCTGTTCATCGAGTTCGTAGATTACATTTGTCCTCGCGTGATGCAAGTATTCTTTTGTAGAGTCTGAATCTAAATACAGGTGGGTTTGTCGGTGTCACATTCTTTTGTTCAAAAGCAGCATATCGTTCGGTCACAATTCTCCATCAAAATTTCATAGGTATACAATCACAAAACGCCTCCCATGCAGCGGTAACAGGATTGCGCCGAAGCCTTCTAAGTGTCATGAACAGTTGCTCGGGGCCAGGATTCCATTTCATAACATCCACCTCGGAGACATCATACGGAAGGCCATCCCGGAGCCGGAAAACACCTGTGTCACAGATACGAGCTTCCTCAGGGATGAGCAATGAAATGGACATCGTTTCTTCGGTGGAGATTAGTCCTCGTTGAGATGCAACAGTAGCAGCGATTTCAGCAGCAGCATCCCGACCAACTGCCTGATTCAACGCAATACTATGACCCTCTTCAACCTGCATGAGGTGCTCAGCCAAAGCAGTTACAGGTGGGCATTTATAAAAGCCCTGCACTGGCGGCGCCCTTTTCATCAATTGTAAAGCTCGTCGACGCAACCACGGATGGCGACATTTGGTAGCAGCCACGAACAATGGAAGTCCGACACCCATCTCAAAGGTAAAAGGTGGTTGCGCACCATTTAGTTTCTCTATTGCATCCAGGGTGAGACTAGATTGGTCGACGATTGCCTGGAAGTCGTCCATAAAATCATCATAGACTGTTTCATGTTTTGTCAGGCTTCCTGAAACATATATCGATGCAGCCGCGTGGTATGTAAGTAGGGTCGGCTCGGTATGTATAGGATATTCGAGCGCGGTTGGCGATTTCTGACGAAGGCTTTGACAAAGGTGTGCATAGGCATTCTTCCAAAGTGCAAGTCGAACTTGTAATGCTTTCTGTTTGGCGAACAAATCCCCGCTCACGCAGACATCACCACCATTGACTTGGAGATGAAATCCCGCGTCTCGCTGGAAGAGGATGCACTCTGCACCCAAGGTGGTTATAGACTGCCGAGCAGATTCGAGTGATGTGAACCTATCGTCCCTATTATTTGAAAAAGAGAATAGCTCGCTTGGTTGAGTCCCGGATATTGTAAGAGCGATGGTATTCAGGCGCAAAAACAGCGGGATGATTGTGTTCTCTAGGAGCGCAGCTTTGCTGCCAGAGACCGTGCCATGGAGAGCTTTCGCACGAAGATCCAATATCAAACTCATTCCTTGTCTGAGTAGTTGCAAAGCCTCTTCCATGCGCCCTTGAATAGTTTCCACACAGATGAACAGTACACAGCTGATAAGCGCAATGTAAGGATCGGCGCTACCACGGTCGATCTGGGAATGAATGCTCGAAATTGAACGTGAGTACCATACCAAAGCCTCTTGCTGAGATTGCTTGAGAAGATGAGCATCTTTCTGCTTGTGTCTCAAAAATGTGAAATCCAGACATTGTTCCGGGTATTCAAACAAAGCACTGATAGCGATGATAGCATCCCACACAGCGGGCTCAGTACGGCATATCTGCGGAACAACGCCAGTCCAAAAATCAATGTCCATACCACCAGACATATAGCGCGCAGCATGTTGAAAATAATACTGAAAAGCACGCCGTTCTCGCCGTCCCGAATTGGGCGATGAGGAGAGCGCATGACTCGGACTTGAAATGAGAGACGTCGGCGTCGATGGCGTAGGAGGCGTCATGCCAGTAGCAGTAACATTGCTCTCAAAGTCACATTTTCGGCCTGTACTCGTACACCGGAGACAGCTCGGGTTTTCTTCCCCGCATTTCACACGTCGGATCCTGTCAAACGGTTAGGTTGTGTCAGATCTGTGGCAGAACTTAACTGACTTGCAGGTTTTACAGCCGGATCGGGACTTGGAACTGCCTATGCGGCCCCTAGGGGGTGTTGTCCGGTTGATTGCCATTGTCTGGCTCCATCTCAGCTTGCGTGTTGGGTCATGCTAGGTTTGATATCTGACATGGGCTGTGAATTTGAGATCCCCACCTTTCCTGTTTTGCCTGAAATGTAAGGCATCGGGCCAATGTCGGAACTTGCTGTCTTCCGTAACTTGCTCAGCCAATGAGGGCATTGAAATCTCTGTCATTTATTACTTGCTATTTCTTGCTATTTATGCTATGCTCATCCTTAGTAATCCGCTCATTCGGAGTTACTATAATTCCGGTTCTCAATCCGTATTCATGAATGCAGCACTGACAGCCAAAAAACCAAGACTACTAGGTAAGAACATCAAACTATTTTTACATACAAGTTACAGCATTCAGTTCAATTGGAACTTGTGACTACCTAGAGAAATTTTAATCGTCTTCTTTGCTTTGTACTGTTGCCCCAATCTGCCTATAGCTCGTTATTGGTTTGCATCTCGTACTTTCTCTTTTTGCATATTTCATTTCTACTCCTTCAGAGAAAGTCAAAGTCAAATGGTCAGGAATTCTAAAGAACGGTACTAATATCTACCCGTTAGTTTCCCCTCATATTCAAGAAACTCACAGCAAGTCTCATCCTCGCTCTTCACTTCAGTCCATACTCCGGTGTTTAGTAAACCCGCTCCGGATATAATTTCATCTCCAAACCCAAGTTTGTTTTACCACTTAACATGGATTTAACTCTTATATCGAACCAGCTGGAGTCAATACCAAAAAGATTCCCAGATTGCTGTCTAGGAATTTCCAACAGACTGATCACTCACCTGGCTTCAATCCTCCCAAAGAACCCCGAGTTCACCATCTCAATCGGCAGCGGATCAGGTCTGCTGGAAGGCCTCATCACATATTCCAATGAAAATATGTCAGTACAGGGAGTGGAAGTAGATTCCACGATCAACCGGTATATCGCCGAAGAAGATATGAACGTCGTTGGCGGAGGGTGGGGCCTCTATCCCAGCGCTCAACAAGCCAAGGCGTGGATGTTTGTCTACCCTCGCGACCCTAGGCTAATCACCAAATACATTGATACATATGGTGATCAAGCTGTTGAAATGATCGTGTGGCTTGGGCCGAGGGTAGATTGGCCTGATTATGAACCTTGCTTTTGCAAATCTACATTCTCTGATTTGCGTGTTTTGGATAACATTGGATTGACGCCTTATGAGACTGCAGTCGTTGCTCAAAGAGCATCTTGATTTCAACATATCTCGGTTTAGCGTGCTGAAAGAACGGAATGTGTTATATCAGCCTATCGACACTATGGAATAGTCAACCGAAAATGTACCTAAACGCCTGCAGTCGTCCGTAAACTGTCACTCAATACATACCCACTACAAATATCATTCCGCTAGAGCCAAAGTGCCTATTCCATCCAGACATAGATACTGCTGATAATTTCAGAGCAAGCCAGAGACTCGTTATCCGACATCTTGATATGTTGGAAGGCACTATGACCTGCTCAGATATGAAACCGCGAGACTACAAGGCAATCTCACGTTTTTTCTTTTATCTGCTCTATAGAACTCAAAAGGCACGATCATCAAACCAGGAGATTCTATTCGGTAGTTTATATCAAGAATAATGTGAAAGAAGGTGCTGATGGGGATCGAGCTGGGGCGGTTCCCAATGAACAAAATGCCTGTCCCCAAGTTCTAATTTTCCTCGACCAAGGAACTCCAGGAAAGCCCCTGCAATATCATGGATTACATCAGGTTTGCCGCTGTCCAAATCACTCGGGCGAAATCCCAACACAATACGTACAGATTGACTTTCGGAGTGGAGCATGGTGGTTAAAGCGAGGAAGTGCGGCTGAGCAGGGAAGTTTAGTGCGCTGCCAGAGCCCCTACTTATGCTGACACACGTAACCTGATCTGGTTCATGGGTATATAGGAATTGCATCTATTACTATCGATAGCCTCTAGGCTCGGGCTTCTATCTAGTTCACTTTAAAGTGCATACCGGAAATGTTTTGACTCCTTGTCAGTCATGTCCTTGAATCCATCCAGGATAGCCTGTGAGGCAACATCACCCTCAAATGTAGCCGTATCGACCGCTGCATCTCTTCGCGCATTCTCCCATCTCATAGACACGTATGCCACCGCGGATAACACAATGATACCGGCATAGCAGATAAGTAGCCCCGCAAGAGCCGAATAGTATCTTGGAGCCTCGCGAGCAAAGAAGATATTAGCACCAGCAACATTACCGGCAGCATAAACCGTGAACCAAAGGCCATTAGCCACAGCACGCTTTGTATGCCCAGCAACATTGGTAGCAAGAATGTTCCAACAAACAATGACCGGAGCTCCAACAATATACTGCAGCCAAGTACATCCAACAAGAGTCCAGCGATGGTCAATGTCAGTAAATCTGATACCCAGTAAACCAGCAAAAGGAATAAGAGACACGACAGCAAGAACAATACATCGCGAGTCCTTAACATATGTAGCAACGATACCACAAATGGGAACGATAGCAGCTTCAAAAGCACCAGTCGGCAACTGAAGCAACGTAGCATAAATCCCATCAAACCCAAAGCCCTTGATAAGAGCAGACGCAAAGTTCGAAACACCACCATTAATAACACCACACGCAATACCAATCCCAGCACAGCAAAGAACCTTTACATCATAGAGGTTCTCCAGTGCCTGTCTAGGCTTGATCTCCTTAGTCTTGACACCAATCATATTCTCAGCGACACGTTGCACGGCTATAACACGCTGATGATGCGAAAGGAAGCGCGCAGAACTGGGCGAGTCAGGCATAAGCCAGAGGAAAACACAGGCAGTGGCAAAATTCATCAGTCCAATAGTCAGGAAAATAAGTTGCCAGCTGTGCAAGGTGGTACTATCGGAATGACCCAGGCCGAATCCTAATAGGGCGCCGACCATTGTGGCCATTCCATTTGCGCTGAGCCAGATGGCCATGCGGAGTGGTTGTTCTGAGCGTTTGTAGAACATGGACGTTAGATTCATCACTAGATAGTAGATTAGTATTCTCATATTAGACTGTAAGTTTGTGAGTGGAAGGGGTCACATACTACAAGGACTAACACCAGCTTCAGCCATGCCCAATAAGAATCTCAATACAAGGATTCCGGCATAATTCTTCGCACCGATGTGCGCGATAACGAGGACACTCCAGATGAGAAGCATACCACCCATATACTTTGCGACCGGTAATCGCTGGATTAATAGGTTGGCTGGTAGGGCCCAGAATAGATAGCCAAAGTTGAAGATTGCTGCGACCCATGAGTATCGCTGGCCTTCTAGGCCCAGGTCTGGGATTAGAGAGTAGGCTGAGGCATAGTTGAGGGATAGTTTGTCTTATTGTAATGAGTGTCAGAAGAGTAGATATAGGTGTTGATTGAGGGCGTACGTACCGAGGAATTGAATAACGTATGTGACGTAGAGCTATGGCATGTCATACGTTAGAAAGACTCAGGATACTATAAGCTGGAGGAAACGGACTATTGGCATAATCCTCCAGTCGAGAATGCGAAGAACCTTGGCCCCCTCAGTCTCTAGCTCTTCGGCCGAGAGCTGTTCAGCCTCGAGGAACAGATTGGCACCAATATCGTGAGTCTCGCCGAGAGCAACATCTTTCTCCACAGTGGGGTAATCCACTTTATCTTTCTCCATGATGCAATGGGGTCGATTGGGGTATTGAGTCAATGGTCAAGGTGAAGTGAGAAACACATCCCTCATTCACATTCTAATGTCGGGCTTTTAAGCCCCGGCAGAAGCCTGGACTTCAAAGTGTTATCGCTGCCAAGTAGATAAGCAAGAAGCTGCAGAAATGTCTAAACGACTGTGATAGTTCGATGATAGAATGATAGGAGATGCAGATCGTGAGGGGAATGGTTCTGGTTGAATGATTGGTTATGCAAGCGGACAATACTCCGCGATAAGTATGAAAGTCCTCGGAATTGAGATAACCACTCTGGTGTATCTATATTTCCTCGGCAAACACCTGAATATTTCCCCCATAAATAATATCCTCAACCATTCTCAACACCGCTCTATGCAAGTATCCCTTCTTCAACTGCTCCAAATGGGTCTCAGCCTCCTCCAACAAGACAATATTATTGGTCTCGGCCTCATCGATCCTGGAATTCCACATGACTTTCTGTCTTAGGAATTCATAAACCCTCATATATGGCATCGCATCCGTCCCACGATCCACAAAGCCAGCTAGATTCATCGCACAGGCGTCAATGGCTTTGCGGGTATCATTCATAGACTTGGTTGCCCAGGCGATATATAATAGCATGATTCCTGCGCGGAACTGGAAGACGAGCTAGAACTCCAAATATTAGCCATGTGTTCTCACAAATGGGTATTAGTACATACTGCAGACCAGGTGTAACACATTACATGCCCCTCTTCCTGCAATACTCGGAAATTGAGACAGACATCCACAATCGCAGCGAGGAACTCGTCCACTCCATCCTCGACAAAATCCCGCTTTCCTTCCATTAGGATCAAGAGACTGTAGTCATACAGCTTCCGCATCCATCTAGGGTGTAAGTAGCCGTATTGGACATTATTGGATCCATATCGTGGGATATCCTGCCGCCAGATATCGAGTGCTGATTTGAATGAGGATGAAGAGTTGTGGTTTTTATCCTGTTTGATAAGCGGGCTTTGAGGCCAGTTTTCCTTCGATCTTCTAATCCTCGCTTGGATTTTGCGTAGGCGAAATAGATGACTTAAAGCGGGATTTATGTCTTGGGGTGGTTGGAGTCTGTCGCCTAAGATACACATCTACCACATGGATCAGTTGGCTCAATCAATCTTAAAGTGGACGTGAGTAGATTTCAAGGTCCAGTGACTCACATCATCGTCGACAACTCTATACGCAGCCGAAACAGGTCGATCCCATCCAGACACGATAATCTCATTTAGCATGTAACAAGTGATAAACATCTTTTCTGACAAAACTTCATCAGCCTCAGTTATCGATCCATTCTCTCGACAGATCGACGCATGCTTTCGAATCTCAGCCATCGCAGCCGTACAAAACGGCACGACAGAAGCAACACTAGTCGTGATCTCTTCAGAAGAAGGAGAATGCAAAGCGTAGACAATCATAAGCAATGAAGCCTGGATCTGCAGCACCATGGATGAATGCCCCACGACGTGCGGGTAATATCGCATTGCCGTAGCGTAGAACTCTTTCGAATGTATTGAATGTGAAAGATCTCGCTGGATTGTGCTGCAAAGAGATGCACCGATTGCATATACAATATTTAGAAAGAATTGTCGCCATTCATCTTGTCCGTCTATGAAGACTTCGTTATGCCAGGACTTCCAAGCGCTTTCGTTCATAAAGGGCCATTCGCGGTGTGTGACAGAGAAGTAAACATTTGTATATTGCTCTTTCAACCATGTCGAACCGTCGGTCAACGGATATGAAGGTGTTGTATCCATCCACGGAAAGTCGAATGTTGCACAGGATAAGAAAGACCATGTATCCGGCGAGAAAGAGAGCGGTGATCGTGAAAATCGTTGAGAAGGAGACTGCAACCCAGATAAGAGCATGAGAGACGCATCATTGTCGGGGGTCAAATCCTGGCCAGCCAAGAAAGAATCCGAATCATTGCATGCCTCAAGATCCCCTAAATCAGTCTGAACACCAGCATCACACATCTGCACTTGAGTTTCGATGGTGCTAGACCGACGATCCGATTCAGCCACCCGCTCTTGAAGTTGTCTCAAATACTCTAGCGGAATGGTGATATTATCTCCCGACTTCCGGGATCTGGCCGGCAAACACTCGACGCCTTTACGGCGACATTCGCCACAGGAGGGCTTTGCATGGTCACATTTCCGCTTGAGACGGAAACAGCGAGCGCAGGCGATATCTCTATGTTTCAATGGGCGCGACATGCAGATGCATTGACGTTTAATGTGAATGTACGAAATAAGTGGTACGCAGAGAAGGCATGCGGGGATTGGGTGGGCCTCCTGAATAGGAAGGTGTATGCTTTTATATAGACAGGATAAAGTCTGCCGGGTGGGGCCTTTCCTATCTAGGCTGCCGCCGCTTTTATGAGGGCGCTCAGGCTCAGGATCAGGGCACCCAGCTCAGCGGGACCCGTGAAAAGTTCAACGGGACCCGTGAAAATATGACTAATGACGGGTCCCGTTCAGCTCTGGCACCTTATCGGGTCCTGAAATCCTGCCTTATATAATCAATTTTTAGCGTAGAAAATTTTTATTCGCCCCTATTTCCATGGTTTTACAAAGCTTTTACAAGCATTCTTTACGCATACTTCATTATTAGACCTTGACATTTCCCATGGGACGCCTCCCATGGGACTGTCCATGGGAATTCCCGTGGGACTAATTTTGGTCCCATGGGAGTAGACTTCCGCAGAACCCAGCTCAACCCGGGCCCAACCCGGGCCCAACCCGGGCTGGGTTGGGTTCTGGGCCGGGTTCTCCAACCCAGTACTGGGCCCGGGTCGGGATTTCTGGCCTAGTGCTGGGCCCGGGCCCCTAGCTAGGTTCATAAACAATGCAAACATGTCAAGACTCGTGACTACATAACTTGTGCAGTTTTTGGCTGTATTTTTGGGTATTTGACTTGTAAGCAAGGCCTCTTTCTATAATCACTATTTAATTTAATTGTACGTTTAATAGATTCCTAAGGCTATAGGGCTATAATTCTGACGGCCGTTAGAAAATAGGGTTATTAAGCTATATTGCTAGTTTTTTTGACGGCCGTTAGAATATAGGGTTATTTCGAGGCTTTTTTAAAGATCTGTGAATTAGAGAGCTTTAATCGATTAACTAACTAATAGTACTCGAATATATTATTATCGCAATTCTTTCGCTTCCGTCCTAACACACGTACTTAGGTGTTATTCACTAGCAATAGCACCTAGGGTTCACGTATAGTCGGCCCTTCAAATATAGTCAATAAAGCTTTATCTAGCTCTGTCTCCTTATTAATTGAAGTCTCCTGTTCCTCGGTATCACTAATTGGCTCGATCTCAATATCGTCAAGGTTATTATCCTTCTCTTCCTTTACTACTTCTAGCTTATTATAAGAGAAGAACTTCTTAAGAAGTCTCGCCTCTTATTCTTCTATGTCAAACCTTGAGGTGCAAAAAAAATATTATTAAATCCTTGATTGTATAAGACTTTATTCTTCCTCGACGGTAATAGTAGATATCCCGAGTAGTATTAAATAGCCGTTTAACGCCTACCCCGGTTATAGGGAAAGAGAGGATATTACGCGCAAGAGTAGTAATCGCTAGGAATCGCGCTTAGTTCTCTCGCTAGAACGTAAGAGGAGCAATTTGAATAGGATCTAATCCGAAGTTAGTTAGAATTCTAAAAGGCTTAGCTTAAACGTACCACTATCAAGATAATAAGTTATTTTATTAGTAGCTATACTTCCCTAGGTATTACTCCTATCTAGTATCGTATCAAGCTTCGATCCTAGCCGAGCTATTATTTAAGAGCTATCTAGTGACTAATTAAGGGCTAAAAGCTATTCTTGATATAGAATTAGAGCTTCCTTGTCAGGACCCTCGACTACTTATGTTGGTACCTGAGGCACGAGTGGTGCCTCAGGAATCGTGGCAGTATAGTACTGCTCACCGCCCGGAAGCTGGGCCAGCCTGTATTTAGTTCATCCCCGCTGACCCTGGGAAGGGTCAGCGTTCAGTCTCTTCTACAATAGAACCATATTGTACTACACGTCAGCTGAGGCTTCTACTTCGCTTACCTAACTAAACCGGAGACTCTGCGTGGTCTCACAATTCTGAACGCTCCCCGAAACACGGTTTGCCCGGTAGAACCTCACCAATAAGCCATGAACTCGCGTCGCTCCCAACGCCTCACCAAAGGGCTTCAAGCGAGCCAATCTAGTAAGGACCCCTTGAATGGGCCAGCTAGGCACGACCCTAGGCCTCAGGTCACCGAAAGCGTTGAAGACTCGACCATGGAAACCACCCAAGAACCGACTGGGCTATTCCCGCCGGCCGAACCAATACCTCTCCGGGTACTAACGCCAATAATCGAACAACAATCTTCCACAACTAGGGCAGCTTAGGGAGCGGTCACCGAATAGGAGATACGAGAACTAGAGGAATTGGAGAGAGAAGTATATAATCTACGGAGAGCCCGGGTCATGGAGCAACTTCGCCGAGAGCAGGGCCATCTTACATAACAAGCAGAGATGAGACCACCTCCACTCGCACCTAGCAATGCGCTATTTACTACACCTGGCAATGCACCGACAAGGGCGTCTACTCTAGTAAGTACGTCGCAATCGGAGATAACCTAGCCGCCTGTCGTATTCGGCGAAGAAGCTATTATGCCACTAACTAGTTTCCCCGATGAGCTATTCGAGCTTAATAACTATCGACCGCCATAAGCTACCGACCAGGAATCTGATCGGAAGGCCCTATTCACCCTACGCCGACGTAGTATCAAGAAACCGCGGGATTAGCCTAACCTAGTGATCTACAAGGCAAAAGACAACGACGAGTATCGAAGATAGGTCTTCTCACTAGAAGAGTTCTTCGAGGCTGACTATACTTGTATAGACTGGTTCGAGTACCAACCTTATTAGACGCGATAGGCGCTGGCCTATTGCTCGAACTAGGTGAAGGAGCTATATAAGGTCAAGTTTCCCCACGATACCCCTTGTTTTAGGGATATGAAGAACTAGGCCATTGGATTGATCAACAAGCACAAGAATCTACAAGAAGCTATGTCTAAGCAATTCGACCTAGCCACTCAGAAAGAAACTGAGTCTATCCGCGAATACGCTGCGCGCCTAATCTAGTACTAGGGCTAGATGAAAGAACAAGAACGGACAGGCGATATTCAAATCTACACCCGGCTTCGTAACTCGGTGTTACCCTCTATCAAAGAAAGGAGGGAGCAATTCGACGTCTAGAGAGAAATAGACCTTATAGAGTATATCGACTATCTCACTGCTGTCGAGAACAATATCCCTACCCGACGACTGGCCCTATCTAACCGAAGGAAGGACGCTAAAGGGGCTATTCCACCGGACCGGGGAAATCAGCCCTAACCACACACTTTCGGCCGTAACCCTGCCTTCCGGACTAAAGGTCGAGGACGAGGAAGGGGTAGTTACGGATCACGATAGGATCCGACACTACGATATAGCACTTCGACTGACCTAGCCAAGAAAAGAAAGGTGTAGGATGGCGCCTATTTTAACTACGGAGAGATAGGTCACCTCGCTAGATCCTGCATAAGGAAGAAGACGGACCTTAGAGCCTCCACCGTCGAAGTACCAAAAAATAGATAGCCCTAGTGAACCTTGCCGCAATCGCACTCGGGGCCGCTAAGACGTATTTAGATAGAGAAAAGGCATTTATCTACGAAGCGGTTGTTATCCTGGCCGATAGGGGCATCCCTATAAGCGTCCTTGTGGATAGCGGCGTAGAGGCAAGTTTCGTGAACCAAAAATGGGCCAAACAACACCTCCTAGATAGCGAAGCTATACCGCGGACGGTTAGGGCTATCAACGAACAGACTGTCCGGTTATTTAGAGCGCACGAGCTACTTCTTGAAATGACCGATAGCGCAGGAACTATTCGAGAAGACCCTATTACGTGCGAGGTAGTCGAAATCCAAGGGTACGACATAATTCTTGGATACGACTGGCTTATCTTAGCTAACCCCGACATCAATTACAAAGAACACACGTAGAATTACCATGACAATGAACCTACGTAGCTCCTTAGGATATCCGCCGCGGTATGTTATAATAAGGCTACGCTCGGAGCATTCGTTATAGCTATCTACCTACGGCCATCGGACAAAGATAGCCTAGTGCCGTTCTTCCATATAGTAATTGACGACGGCGAAACTATCCTAGAAGCGTATAGGGACTTCGAAGATATTTTTAGCGAGGAAGGCGCGGACAAACTACCCTAGTCCATATATTTGGATCACGCCATCGAACTAGAGGAGGGCGCCTAGCCACCGCACTAGCCAATTTACCCTCTCTCCCCGAACGAGCTAGGGGTGCTAAGAAACTATATTGATGAAATGCTAGCTAAGGAATGGATTCGGCCTTCCCAGAGTCTAGCTAGCGCACCAATTATCTTTGTTAAGAAGAAGGATGGGTCTTTGCGGTTATGCGTGGACTATCGGGGTCTTAACAATATTACTATTAAGAACCGCTACCCCCTGCCGCTAGTGAGCGAGACAATGGACCGACTATCGGGCGCAAAAATCTTCACCTAGCTAGACCTCCGGGATACCTACCATAGGATCCGAATCAAGAAGGGAGACGAATAGAAGACGGCGTTCCGTACGCGATACGGCTATTTCGAATACACGGTTATACTATTTAGACTGGCGAATGCCCCTGCCATATTCTAAGCGTACATCAATAGGGCGCTTTGTGACCTCCTCGACCAATTTTGTGTCGTCTATCTAGACGATATCCTGATATTCTCTTAGAACGAGGAAGAGCATGTCGAGCATGTTCGAGAAGTCTTTCGACGGCTACGTACCTACCGGCTATACGCAAAACGTAGCAAGTGCCGCTTCTATACCGATTCGGTCACATTCCTTGGGTTTGTGATCACCCTAGAAGGGGTAAGTATGGAAAAAGAACGTGTCAAAACCATATAGGAATAGCCTATCCCTGAATGTGCGTTCGACGTCTAGTAGTTTATAGGGTACGCCGGGTTCTACCGCTATTTCATTGAACGGTTCTTAGCTATCTATATACCTATTTCGGCTACCACCCACGGCAGAACAGCTAGGAAAGCCAACCGAAAGAAAGACGGGTTCCAATAGACTCGGGAAGCGCAAGACGCGTTCGAAAGGCTAAAGAGGGCCTTTACGGAAGAGCCATTCCTCCGACACTTCGACCCCGAACTGGCCCTGCTGGTCGAGTGCGATGCGTCGGGGTTCGGACTCGGGAGTATACTAAGCTAGTTGTTTACGGATAGGGGATGGCACCCTATTGCGTATTAGTCTCGGAAGATGATCGGGCCAGAAACCCGGTACGAGACGCATGATTTAGAGCTATTAGCTATTGTAGAATCATTTAGGCAATAGAGGCACTACCTAGAGGATAGCAAATTCCTAGTGAGAGTCCTAACTAACCACGCTAACTTACGCTATTTTATAACCACAAAGGTGTTAAGTGGGCGGCAAGCAAGATAGTCCGAATACCTTGCGGCATTCGATTTCGTTATCGAATATAGGTCCGGCAAGAAGAATCCAGCGGATATACCTAGTCGGCGTCCGGATTACGCGCCTAAGGAAGGCGAAACTGCGGACAATTCAATGTTACCTATATTACAACGAAAGATCCGGCAGAGTTATGGGGCTGCGGACCCTAACGAGATACTATTGATTAGTAGAATCATGGTGAGCGGAATAGATAGACTTCTATTGCCGCGCCTACGTCGGGTGACGACCCACGAAGGCCCCTCACGGACTAGCCCTATCCTCCGTGTAGGAAGACTGTCAGCCGAAGACCTCCAGAAGAGAGAATAGGCGTAGTACGGTCAAGAGGACTAGATCGACTTAAGCAGTCGAATGCCCCGTCTACTAGCGGCAAAGGCTACAGACGGAATAGGGGTATATCTAGACTTATTGCGACCCTCACTTATTGAGTTAATCAAGTATACGCAAGCGTTAGATCCCGTTAGCGTTAATAAACTTAGTAAGATAGAGGGACGGGCGTATAAGGATAGGCTAGTTAGACTGGCGGGCATAGCGTAGACTAAGACAAATGACGGACTTTTACGCTATAGCCACCGAGTATACGTGCCGAATAACCTAGCCCTACGGCAAGAGATCATAAAAGTGCACTATGATAATCCGCAAGGGGGGCATTATAGGGAAAAACAGACTTAGGAAGCCATCGGCCAGCGTTTCTACTAGCACGATATAAAAAGCTTCGTCCGTGCGTACATCCAAGAATGCGTAGCCTATCAGAGGAACTTGACTAGGCGGTATAAGCCATACGGGCTTTTGCAACCCATGCTAGTGCCATCCCGACCAGCGGAATAGGTCAGTTTAGACTTCATCACTAGCATGCCTCCCTCAAAATAGGACGGCAGGGTATATAACGTAGTTCTAGTAGTGGTTGATTTATGTACGAAATACGCATTGTATCTTCCATATACAAAGGACATTAACACGCAAGAACTCGCCTAGTTATGGTTCTCCAAAGTGATACCAATCCTAGGTATGCCAGAAAACCTAGTTAGTGATAGGGGCAGCCTATTCACAAGCGAATTCTGGTCGTCGTTTTGCGCATTGCTAAGAACGGACCGAAGGCTATCAACTACATTCTACCTATAGACCGATAGATAGACGGAACGGCAGAATCAGACGTTAGAATACTACCTCCGATCGTATGTTAACTAGGACCAAGACGACTAGGCTAGTTACCTCCCGCTAGCGTAGATATACTACAACCAAGCAAAGCATAGCGCTACTAGAATATCGCCGTACGAGGTATTCCAGGGATTTAAACCTGACCTACGGATCAGTGTTGACATCTATCCAAAGGAGCACTATAGAGATACGGTAGCAAGGGTAAAGGATATCTAAGAAAGAAGATCCTTTATGCTAAAGAAGCTGACCCAGTCTAAGGAGGACATAAAACGTTATTATAATAAAAATCAAATCGATATATCATTTCACATTGGCGAATAGGTCTTGCTACGCGCAAAACACATCGTTTCGCATCGCGTCTCCACGAAATTGGATATAAAATACATCGGACCCTTCCAAGTAGCGGATAGGATCGGAAAACAAGTATACCGCGTTCGACTACCTCTAATGTATCGACTGGTCCATCCCGTCTTCCATATATCACTCCTCGAGAAATTCCACGGCAATCCTAAAAAGCAGGACGAAATACCTAGGCTAGTTCTAGTGGAAAACCAATTGGAATACAAGATCGAAGAGATTCGAGCCCACCGTGGCACCCCGCCAAGACAGTATCTAGTGAAGTGGGAAGGGTACCCTAACCATGAATACACATAGGAAGACCCAGCTACTATAGAGAATATAGTGGCGCTAGATATCTACGAACTAAAACCTACAAAGAGAAGAGGCAGAAGTTCAAGGAAAGGATAGTATACTCCACGGACTACCGATATCAGTCTAGTCCTAATACTATGCCTAAGGCTCAGGGACAAAGGAAACAAAAGAAAAATGGGCCTACTACCGCTTACTTCTTCTTCCTTTAGAAGAAACGCTTCAGAGGACGACGGCGAGGGGGTTCCTTAGAACTCTCCCGAGAAGGGCTAGTGGAACTAGAAGTAGCCACCACACAAGGGCTCTCAGCACGATCCCGACAAGAAGGCTTACTTCTACCACGGTTATCGGAAGAAGGGGCAGTCGGACGGGGCCCGTTGACTAGACGTCGACCACTAGCGTCTTATCGATCACGTACTACGGAAACCATCGAACGAGGTGAACCGGTACGACGACGAGAATCCCTGCTACTACTAATAACTAGGGTAGTCTCCTTGCTGCTATCCTTAGCCGCGCGGTTACTCTCTTGGGTATGCCGCTTCACAGCCTTTAGGAAATCAGCACGGGGCCCATTAACAGGGGCAATATCTATAGTAGGAGACGTATCCGCCAGGGCGGCAAGGTAACGGTCTAGGATCTCGGTGGAAAAGGGGATATCGCTGTACTTCTTGTTTCGATCAGTGCAGTCATCGCAACGCGGCAGGGCCTTCCCGTTCGAATCCTCCGACCAAGTACACACTCTGCCTATTCCGGTGTAGGTGATACACTTGCGAGCGCGCTCCTTAGTATTATACCGCGGACGCTTTATGCGCTTCGCTTCAATGGCCGGGGTCGTAGGGTTAGAGTTAACTAGGCGACTAGGGGTGTTCGGAACTCCGGAAGCTTGAACTAGGGGAGTCACACCGCGGCGCGTGCGAAAAGACATCGAGGGCGATCCACTAGCAGCGGCGTTCGTCGGAACCGGGGCCGAAGCCCGGGCCCGCTCGCGGCCACCACTAGAAGACGCCTGCCTATTCTCCTAACGCTCACGGTGAGACAAGTTTGAAAAAGCCCCAGATCGGCGAGTTCCCGGAGGAGAGGGGGTATAAGGATTCCCGGGCTAGGTCTGCTGAGCAGGGCCACGGGATTGTTGACCGCGATGTCTAGGCGAGACAACAGGAGACGAGTCACTAGACTGACGACGGGAAGCGGGCTAGGCCTACTAAGCGGAAGCACGACGTTGCTAGGCAGCGACGCGGAAAAATTCTTCCTCGTCAGAGGAGGGAAAACGAGTATGCGGCATTTCGAACTATAGAATGCCCTAGTCAGCAAAAGACATCGAAGATCAGGGACGATCCTCCGAAGGAGGGAGATAAAATGCCCTAGCCCATAGAAATATCAGTAACAACAAACTGAGGACAAACTAATCACACAACTGATCTCAAAGCTGACACCGAGCAGAGAGAGCATAAAGATAGGAAGAGGCAGTGAAATAAAGGGGACTTACAGGCAATACAAGCGTACTGGCTGGGGAGAAAGAAGAAGAAGAACTGATTGAGAGAGAAAGGGGCCTTTTATGTTGGCAACGCAAGAAGTGTTGCCTAGCCCTGATATCAAGCAAACAGTTCAAGCAAACAGTGCATCTATCTACTCTCAGCCTTACGGGTTTCCCCGCAAAAAGGCTTGTATCAAGACCCTTTTCTCACTACGCCAATCACATGCCTCGCGCAAGAACGAAAAATAGGCCAGTCGGCATCGGATACCTTTCCCTGCATAGATTTTCCCCAGGAAAGAGCTGGAGGTTTTTGCCATGCATAGTTTTAATGGACCGAAAAAGCCACTGGACAGGCCCATTCCATTACAAGACCCCAGGGACGTGGTCTCTAAGGAGGGGGATATTGTCAGGACCCTCGACTACTTATGTTGGTACCTAAGGCACGAGTGGTGCCTTAGGAATCGTGGCAGTATAGTACTGCTCACCGCCCGGAAGCTGGGCCAGCCTGTATTTAGTTCATCCCCGCTGACCCTGGGAAGGGTCAGCGTTCAGTCTCTTCTACAATAGAACCATATTGTACTACACGTCAGCTGAGGCTTCTACTTCGCTTACCTAACTAAACCGGAGACTCTGCGTGGTCTCACAATAACAAAGGCATCAAAGTTCTGACGGCCGTCACAAAAAGGGTGCTATAGACCATAAGCAATCGCACTAGTACTTTTGACGGCCGTTAGTTAATACGATTATTAAGTTATAGTGTTCTACAAAGCCTTATATACCGTACAAGCTTTTTTTCGATAGCCGTTAGTACTTCGGGACTAACTTGAAGGGAATGTATTAAGTGTAGCGGGTAACCTATGGGTTTATAGGTTCTTGGCGGGTAACCCGCGGGTTACCCGTTCTGCATATATACGATAAACCAATTAATATGCCTTTTCTTCTTCCTATGTAGGCCTTTATTGATATATCATCTTTTTGTCTTCGAAGAACAGGGGTATCGCGAGGCCCCTAAATATAAGTCTACGCGTTTTAGAATCTTCTGTAAGTCGTCTAATAGTTATTAGCGAGAAACCCTTCAATATATATAGTCCCTAATGTCTTAATTCACTAATGCCTACGCATTATCTGCGTATAACATAGACCTCCCACTACTAGATAACCTTCTAATTCTTCCTTCGGACGACCTTACCCCTAATCTATCGATTAGTTAATAGGCATTTCCTCTAGTCGCAAGCTCCGCAATCGACTCCGATTTCACACTATAAACCTTCTTGTCTCCGATTCTACCCAACCTCGAGACTATTCGACCTAACCGTGTCACTCTATATATGGTATATACTAAAGAAATAACTATCGAGTTCGTATAATGGTAGCTACAATCAGACTTTAGAAGAAAGAAGCGCCTACGCTAGGACTCACGGCACTTCTCTAATATTTGGGATTATTTTGACTAGGTAGCTAGGGCTACTAATAGGGAACCGAAGGTAATATATAAGCTTTGCAAGGCTATTCTAAACCACCTAGGGCTTAGTGATAGGACTTCAACCATAAAGAAACATATTGCAAGCTGCGGTGTAAAGAAGAGAGGCCCAAATATTAGGCAATTCATATAAGCGGTATAATACCCTCTTTATCCTTATATACGTCGATTTTAATGATTTCTTAAGGCGCTAGTACCTTCTACCGATACCCCGTTTAGCCAAGAAAAGTGGGAATCATGTCTTCTTCGGTTTATTACTGAATCAAGACTACTATTCTAGCTCCTAGAGCACGTAGGCTTCCGGGATATTATAGCCATAGCCTAAAGAGTATCAATATAAGAAGTCTATACGACTATAAAAGAACCCTTTTTATAATGGAGGGTAGGAAAAAGCCACTTTTTCCTATAAGACCAATTATAATATAGTGGATCTTATCTATAAGATAAGATCCCGAACCAATAAGAACCGAGATCTCGGCTATAACCGAATACCTTCGGATACTATCGGCAATAGAAGCTAATAGAAAGAACTAGAAGCATCTGCTGATAAATCAAATTACCAATGCTGATAAATCAACTAGGTGGCAAGAGCATTTGCCACCTAGGGGAAATAACATAAATAGAGAGTGATACCCCGACTGAAATAAACAACTATACTCTTCTCTCTCACTTTATTCTTCTTACTCTCTTCTTTATTACTTCCTTTCCTCTTATCACATGATCCTATAACCCTGACATCTTCAGAGGTTATGAGCCCGGCTTCTACGCTCAATTAGGACACTGTGAAACAATTGATTAATAATCAAAAAAAAAAAATAATCTGACACCGTCCGGTTTCGAACCCGCACCCTGTTAGATCATAATACCCAAATATCAAACTAGGCCACCTAGCCAGTTTTCACTATACGGAACATATTCCTCTCACATACCTTATACCTATACCTAAGATACTATATCCCAAAATGGGCTCTTCTGAAAAAATCACTATAGCTAAACTGAAAGGAAGCCTTGATTACCCGCGCTGGCGGCGAAATTGTAAGGCTATTCTCACAAGAGAAGACCTCGAAGAAGCTATAGAGTCTGATCTCTATCAGTCTGAAGACCCTATTGAGAAGAAGAAAAATAGGAAGGCTATGGCCTCTATTTTACTATTTTGCTCAGATGAAGTCCAAATACAGATAGCGGACTATAATAGCGCCTACCTTGCCTGGCAAGCGCTAGATACCACCTACAATAGGGGGGTTTTATAACAGAATATATGCTGCTACGACAGCTCTTTCAAACTCGCCTTACGGATTTTGAAACTATGGAGGCTTTCCTCTATAAAATCAGAAACCTAAGGAGTGAACTTGAAAATCAGGGTATCAGCCTTCCCGAAAAGGTTGTTATATCTTTCACGCTTTTTAGCCTGACAGAAGAGTACGAACCTTTCGTACAAAATATAACTCAGGCCTTCCGGGGCAATACCAATGCCTATACACTAGATACGCTGACCTCTAGCTTGATTGATGAAGCTAGAGGCAAAGAAGCAATATCTAGTGAGAAAACTAGTGAGAAAGCCTTTCTTACTAGTAAGAAATATATAAAAAGAGGACAAAACAACCAGTCTTTCTGCGAAAACTGTAGGAAACCAGGACATTCCTCTGAAATATGCTGGTTTCTACACCCAAATAAAGCCCCAAGTGGTTGGGAACAGCGAACGTCGAAAAATCGCGTTGTTAAAAGATCTGAATACCCTAAAAGCGAATTCAGTAAAATGAATAACGCTAAAAAGGACGCACTTATAGCACAAATTCAAGAATCTGATCAGCCTACTCAGGTAGATCAAGAAGAAACTATAACAGCCAATGAGCTTATCGATTTTAATTTCGATGATATGGATACTGAGGTATGTGTCTCAAATATATATATAGCGAAAACCGCTAATAATATACTAGATGGTCTAATAACGGGTCGAGAAATAAACCCTATAAACACAAAAAATACAAAAAACAGTGACCTACTAGCTAGGAAAAATAGAAAAATACGCTTTATTATTGATAGTGGCGCTACTATCAATACTATAGCTAATATACAAGATTTTACTTCCTATAAACCTATTAAGACCACTGTACGGTGGGGAGACGCAAACAATATAACCTCAGAATATAAGGGAGACGTGACTATAAAAACAAATACAGACTATATCTATACGTTAAAAAACGTGCTATACCTACCTCAATTAGGCGTAAACCTAATGAGTCTTGATAAAATGCCAGATATCATAAGCCTGTTTCTCCCTAGAAAGGCTATACTCTATCAACATAAAAGAATAGTAGCAATTGGCTATAAACAAAACAACCTATACTATACGGAAGCTCAAATACTACCTAACAATACTGAAAGTGCTCAAATAGCACAGAAAATAATAGACCTTCCGCAAACAGCAAAAGATAAAAAGACTAATAATCTTACAATAATGACCCAATGGCATATACGCCTAGGGCATTGCAATATAAAAGCCCTAACTTATATGTTACGGGCCCAGAATATCACTATAACTCAACAAGATATCAATAACTTTATAGCTAATAAATGCAAAATATGCCTTTTAGCTAAAGACAATAGATATATCTATAAGAACTCATCTGATCTTATAGAATACGATATATTAGACCGAATACATACAGACCTAGGCGGGCCACTACCACCTACGTACAATAAATATACCTACTATATTACGTTTTTAGATAAGAAATCCCGATACCTATGGGTTTCCCTTATCTATACAAAGAACGGTGCCTATAAAGCATTTGAGGACTTTAAGGCTATAGTAGAAAATAACAATAAAAAGAGAAGAATACGAGAATTGTTCTCTGATAACGGAGGAGAATATATAAATATGCCCTTTGCTAAAAGTCTAGCAAAAAACGGCATTATACATCGAACTACTCCGTCCTATACAAAAGAGCCTAATGGCTTAATAGAGCGA